ACCACACGTTGGCTTTCAAGTACGTTTGTATCGTTGATTTTTGGGCTCCCTTCTTGTCATGTCAATACATCAGAATCGGTATCCGAAGATGCACTGTGTAATAACAGCAAAACATTTGAAAGAACGGAGAAAAAAAAAAGTGCGCACAAAAGGTCAACAACACCCAAAAATTATATAAAAATCGATGAGTTTGTAGAAATGTAGCGTTCGTTTATGCGTGTGTATATGTGATCAGCAGAAGCAGCCACCACATAATATATGAAAATTGTACTATTCCGCGTAACACACACATTCAAAATATTAAACAAACACAAGCTCAAAAATCATACCAAATGAACGAACAGATCTCGTTCACATACACGCACACATACACTCTTTCGCTCTGTTCATTTCCTTTTCCCGCCCATGCATGTACATACATGTGCGTTCTTGCTCTAACCAATCGAAGTTATTTTAAACAACCGATGTCAAGAAGAGCGTATTTTCCTTTTGTTTCATTTCCATTCTCACTCTCATGCTCTGTGTCTATACAAATGTCTACACACATATGGATGTATGTACAAAATTGTAGAAGGCAATGCCCTTTGCTGTTCTGCTTCGTTATTTAACTCGACGTTTTCTAGGCCATTTCGTTGGCCGTGAAAAATTCACCATCCAATGTGAATTTCTCTTCTACTACATCATCATCATGTCGGCTGTGTGTTGTTGGCCGTTGTCGTTGTTCTTGTTGTTGTTACTATTATTGGTGGTGGTGGTGCTGCTGCTGCCGTCGTTGTAATCGACGGCGTACAATGCTCTCTCTCACTTCACTACCGAATTGCGGAACACACATCGAAATGCAATATGTAAATTTGTGATAAGGCGAAGCCAGCAAAGAACACCAAGAGACGTAATTGTGTGTATTGTGTTATTCGGTTGTTTTTTTCTTTTCTCGTTCAATTCGGATGGCGTTGACTCCCAAAATAGAAATCACGTTAAATAAAAAAAAGAAGTAGAAGAATAAGACACGAAGTGAATCGGTTATTTTGGTGGCAATCACCTTTATGTCGTAAGACGTCGTCAACAACAAGAACATCTTCACATTTTAATGATGAAATTTTTTTTTTAATTTCTCTCACATTTTTTTTTCTCGCGAAATTCTAATTTTATTCAATCGCCTTTCGCTTTCGACATTTCAGAAGATGCACAATAGACAACTATTTCTATAGTTATCTTGTGTCGCTGAGATTTTCAAATTTAAAGTGACATTGTCCTTGAATAAATTTATAGCATTTTCGTGAAATGTCGAAAAAAGCGCCATTCGAAATATACATATTCGAGAGACTGGGAAATGTAACCACTTTCTTTCGTTTTTGCTTCTCACTTGCCGTTCGCTATAGGCGAATGAACTTGCGTGAACCCACTCTCACACACTTGCGTACGTTCGAACAACAATAGCATTCCACTGTGTACTTCTTTCTCTCTTTCTCTAAACATTCACGCACTCACGACACACACGTACACACACACCGTGTAAAAAAGCCTCCAACCTCGACCGGACACTAGTTTGTGGTCAATTTTAATTTGGACCTTGCGTTCTCTAATAGAAACAAAAACAAAAATAAAAGCAACTATTCTATTTTCGAATGATGCAGACACAACGCATACTCAATTGTGACTTTAATTTAAAAAAAGAAGAAAAATCAAATAAAGTCTATGAGAGAAATGCACTGCAGTGACACCAAAATGGTTTTGGCCTTCTGAATTTAAATTTCTTTTTAAAATAAATAAACACTATATTTTTAAATGGCGAATGCGATTGTTTTGTCTTGGCTAGAATGACACAGGAACGCACAACGAACGCTACAGAACGTCATTATCATAAATTCATGCCAAACTATACGGTCGTAATACTGTCCACAAAATATAATAATAAAATGTCGTGGAATTATTTTGAGCAAACAAAATGATATGACTAATTTCTCTCTCTCTCTCTCTCTCTCTCTCTCTCTCTCTCTCTCTCTCTCTCGTCGAACCAAATCTCAAAATAAACGCGCACTCATTCACGCACACACCGCACACATCATACTCTTCTTTCTTTGAAGTTTGAAGAAATCAACATATATCAGAGTCGAGTTCATTTTGGCATTATCTACTCGCTTTTATCGTTAACTATTCAATTTTCTTTTATTTTATCTCGTCGCTACTAATTTCGGCTATTGTCAAGAGCACTTGGCAGTAAATTGGCAGTCCTAAACAATTGTGTTACCTATAGTCTTGTCAAGCAAATTTTTTTTTCATTCAATTTTGCCGAATCAAGTTCAACAGAAATAACTATGATTTGCACTTTAAAACTCTTCACATAATCGATTCGATTAACAATAAAAATGCACCAAATTTGTCCGTATTTATAATACGTTCATGTGTCAATTATTGCGAAAAGTATGCGAAAACCGTTATATGAAAGCACAACACGTATCAAACATAGTGAGCTGGTTTTGCAAAAATCAGCGAAAAATTACAAACAATTGATAATTTTCTAATACACTCGCGATTATAACGACCTTTCCGTTTGACGACAATGTCGATGATACAACTCGTTTAAATTAAGTGCGCTTTTGTTGGTATACAATACATACAAATCGACGTCACACAATCAGTCGAAAAAAAAAGAAATAATAAATTCCATTGAACACACGCAAGAAAGAAATTTGTTTTAAAACGAATTCATTTAACAAAGATACACTTTTAATTGAACTTACACTGTCAATCACACAATAAATTTCAACTTTTATTTATTTTATCATTGTAAATTCGTAAAATGTGTTTCTATTTTTAGATTGTGCATGTCTTTTTTTGTGTTTTGGACACTCCGGTAGAATTTTTTTTTGTTTTAATCGGTAGTTCTTGACGATTGCCTCGTCGATAAATCGAGACAAACCATTGTTTTGAATTCAACTAACGTTTGGTGTATGTTTAGCAACGGTAACAGCGGCAATGAAACGACTCACAATTCTTTTCTCAGTTTCTGTTGTATGACGATATATATATATGTGTGTGTGTATGTTGGATGTGGTTTTTTCTCTTGCTCTTTTCTCTCGTTCAAAAGTTTTCTGTTTTATTTTCCTCTCTGTACAACAAAAACAACAACAACAACAACAATTTTTCATATGATAACATGCGCGCATGAGAGAAAGATTGTCTTAAAACAAATCAAACGTATAGTAATAGCAACAACAATAACACCGAAAAAAAGACCGAATACCAAGCGTACACACTTCGACTAAATGCGCGCTCACTTTTCTCTCAATGTATGTTACTACACAATATAAAACAGTCCGTTTGTTTCGAGGTGAACGACCGAACTTTGTTATATACTTCAATGGTATGTGTACGTTAACTACCGCTTTGCAGCGATGATGTGACATCTGTACGTGGTATGTATGCGCGATTGAAAGAGAGAGAGAGCGCGAGAGAAATAGCTCAGCAAACTAACTCATTTCAGTACATGCGAGAGTGTCGAATGAGCAAGAACGAACGAGTAATTTGTGAAAAATACTCAAAACAGCTGCATTATGATTCTCCGCATGTTTGAACATTGATCGCATAAACTATATGCTTTGAATTGGGGTTAAAACCGTAAACAACCAATTTACTCAATGTCATAATTTGGCTCGAATCAAAAGATTATTCTCTTCTTGAGTGTTGTTCGAATGAGTTGAAATTATTGAGCAAATGTTTTCGAGTGAGAATTTGACGGCACGGCAGAGAATTGAGCAAGAAAAAAACCACACACAGAACTGCCGATATGGGTTTCATATCCAAAATTCACGTTTTGATATGGAGAATCCAAAAATTACTCATCATTCGACATATGTAAACCACGTTATATAGTCATTGTGCCAACGACTTCTCAGTCGTTACCATCGCTATGTAAAACAGTAAAGCGTTTTTTTTGTTGTAGGCCCAATGATGTATGGTCGCGTACCGAAAACCAACGAAAAAAAAACCCAGATACAATATGAAATGAATGAATATGCGATTACGTAAAACGGTACACACACAGAAACACACCAGTTCACCATACGGTAACAGTTCACCATACGCGTTGGTCGGCTTTTTTACTTACACGCAAATATATATCCTATATACAATATCGTTGTACGGAAAAGCATAGGAATAAATTAAGGAAAACAAAGAGATAGAGAGAGATAGAATGATGGGCGCATCATCAAGCAACGGCAAATGGAAGATTTTTATCTTTTTATTCTTTTTTACTTGTCGGTCAAATGTGCCATAACCTGTGCATGATACATCAAAAGAAATCCACAATTCGCTTACACCATTTACAGTAATACATTTTCAACGTCATAATACGTAACTTTTTAACGAACGACCAACGACGATGACAATGAATCAATAATCCACTTTGCGTTCATTGCTTTTATTAACATGCTAATTCATTAATAATTTACACATAGCAAATGCAGCAAGTCGTTTTGCTTTAAGCAACTTGTGATATTCGACATTGTTGTGATTACGATCGTTAAAATGTTGATATTAACGGTCGAAAAATTCCAGCCCAACACGAATATACAGACTGAAGAAAACAGAAAATATTTACCGTTATTTCTACATGCTTTTTTTTGCGTAATGTGGAATATGTCGATGGGTGTTTCTCAAAAGCATTGCCTCATGTTTCGGTGACAATCGCTGACTCGATTTACTAAATGTGTTTTACATAATAAGGGGTGATAGTAACTCTTAATCTCAATTTAATTCTCATGATTAACTGTAATTATTGTTTTATTTTTACTTATCAGTAAGTAAAAAAGGAAAAATTCTCTGAAACAAAACAAGAAACACTTCAATTCCTTTCGCTTATTTTCGTCTGGGATTTACCGAGCAAAATAACATTTTCTTCGGTTCTTTGATGAAACGGAAAACCATGACTCATGATTTCATGCATTTTTATCGCGATTAAATTGATTCGACGAAATGAAAATAAATAAAGTCGTTCATTTTGCTTTTCCAAGTTTTTATTTGATAATTTTTATCTGAAGATATATGATTATACTTATATACAAAGTTGCACTTCCTGTTTTTATTTATCAACGAGCTAAACTAGCTATATATGCATAATATGGTTTTACAGTTTACTCTCGGTTTCGGCCAAAATTTATTCTTCCATTTACTAAAATTAAAAAATAGTGTTTTCAGTAGATAAATATAAAGTGCCAAATATATTCGCGTTTTATAACAAAAAAAAATTGTTGATTTTTAATTCCGTTTTAGTTTATTCATTAAGAATTGTGTAAATCTTTTTCTTCTGTGTAAAAATGTATTTATAATAGGATATAAATAAGTCAATTAAATCTAATGTGAATCATTGCAAATAAAATCAAATTAATACATGCATTTTAGTTTCTTTCAACAACAAAAAAACTATAAATAATCTTTATTTTTGTCGAATTTCGACACTTATGTATGTGTCGAATATAATTTTTTTTTTTTTTGATAATCATCATTTCAAAATAATAATTCAAAGAATTTACTTGTTTAAAAATGCGTTAAAATTTGAAAGTTTTCTATCGTCATTGACGAAATCATCTTATAAAATTAAAAGTGTGATAACACACGAAAAAAAATGATAATTATAAATCTTCTTTTATAGAACTAATCTAACAAAGAAAAGGAAAAACCCTTGTTTTGCTAGTCCCCTTCGTAACAGAAAAAATATATGTGTGTATGTAATTTGAGTTGCTGTCCAATTCCAGTTAAAGAGCAAATAGAAACAAAACAAGATAACAAATTGAATCAAAGAAGAAGAAAAAAATGAGTGTGTAATAGATAAAGATCAAACGTACGCTAAAGGCTTTATCGTTGCGAATACGATGATGAAATTTAAATGAAAAAATATATATATTGTTTTTATAGTTTTTTTTTTAAACTGGAATCATATTCGAATACTCATTGTTTGCACTGTAAAAATGAAAGACTCATGACTGAGAGAGAGAGAGATAGAATGAAAAGAAGTCAACAAAAAAAACAAGCAATTACAAATGCAAACAAAGCGACTGTATATCAATGAGTGTGCTGATGGTAACACTCAATAAATGTGCTGTTATCATGACAAACGATATGATGTTTGCACTAAACATTCTTTGAATCGATTTCGGTGTTCAAATTAACAATGTTCGGTATGCCATTTGCATCGATTTTTAATTGGTATGCATTTTCGGGTGGTAGATCGCTCAGATTTTTCGCTGTTTTAATATGCGTTACCGGTGACACATTCATGACGATGTCTTTCATCACGACACTGCTGTCATATGTGTTGTCAAAATGTTCGGCCGGAATTTTCTGATGTGATGTCCGGTTTGGCGGTACCCATGGATCATCATCATCCAAATCTAATGTATCGATTAGATCACCAACTTTATTAAATTGATTGCATGATGCATCTGTTGCATAATTATGCTCATTATCTTCGGTTTTGCAGAACAAACCAAAATCGTTGCCCATTTCTTCGTCGGCAACAGCATCACCAAATTTCTCTCTTGAATCGAACAACAACGATCGACGATTCTGTTGCATTTGATTCTCTTCCATCATAATATCGGTTGGCATTGCACCGTCGTTGCCATCTTTGTTCATTTTTAAATTTGGAGCCGCAATCAATGCCATGCTCATCAATAAAACCATCAAACATGTTGCGGGCTGTACACTCTTGTTGCCACATTTTGATAATAAACTTTGCATTTTCTTCATTTGATTCACAAGATTTTGATTTTGTGTTTGCAATAATTTAATACGCTTTTGGAGTGTTTGATTGTCATCGGTGCATTTTTTAACACGCTCTTCCAATCCATCAACATATTCCTTCTTTCGTTTGCGTGAATCTTGTGCGGAAATTTTATTACGGATCTTTCGTCGAATTCGTTTTAATTCACGTTCTTCGTGCTTTGTAAGCGGGTAATGGGCTGGTAGTGTGATGCCTTCTTTTGCAAGCAATCGCTTTTCTTCACCGGACAATACCAATTTCGGATATTCGGATTGATGTTCAGTCTCACCATCTTGTTCACTGTCATTATTCACATCATCATCATCGTCGTCGTCGTGCACAAACATCTCTTCGAATTTATAACTTTCACAATCTGATGGTTCTGACATTGAATCAATTTCTGAAATAAATTCAAACTTTTAGAATTTTCATCAAACGGTTTGACATGATCATAACTCACCATATTTGGGCTCCAATTTGATTGGTTTGTTGACGATAATTGCATTTTGTTTGTATTCTTGTAGTAGATTTGATGCGGCCATTAGGATTTTTGGAGATTTTGTCAACGATGATGGTTTGATAATTTTAATCGAACGAATGTCAGTACCATTCTTCAATGAAAATGGAAGAATGATTGATTTCTGATTGGGTCCTTTTTTCACTTGAACCAATTTACGAATACCTTTAACGAAAAAACATTATCAATCAATATGATAAAATCTTATCATTCATTTATAAAAAAAAGTATAAATTTCATACCTGAAATATTGCCGTTAATTTTGTTGATAACGATTGAAGTGTTGTTTGCAACTACATTTTCACTGATGATTGCACCGTTTTGTTGTTTAAAAACGGGTTTTACATCGGACATTTGAACTACATTCGTTGGAGCTCGTTTAATATTTTGAACATTTTGTGTTGAAACCGTTTGTTCCGTTGGTTTGGTTTTCAATTGAATCGGAGTTGCATTTTGTTTAATGAACTTCGGTGTATTTGATGGTGATATTTTAATGGATTTCTCCAAGACGGCTTCGGGTTTCACTAGTTTTGTAAGTTGTAGTTCTTCATCAGCCAATTCTGGAATGATTTGGGACGACAAAAGTGGCTGCTGCAATAGATCCGATCCGATTTGATCGAAATTCATGTCACTGAAAATGAAACGAAACCATTTATAAAACGTGTATTGCAATGATGTGATGCAACGATGAATCATCATTATGAAATACTTACAAGTCAACATGATCACTGGATAGGCCGCTGTCTGAGGAGGAGCTTGAAATCAAATTTTGTGGTGGACTTAGCATTTGATCAGCAATCGGTTTCATGCCCAGCATATCGTGGTCGTTTTCTGATTCGGTGCCGGTTGATGTTGGTGATGACATATAATCATATGCATCGGTCCATGTATCCATATTCAGGTCGCCCAAGTCATTAAAATCATTTAAGAAATCAGTATTCAGTGGAAATATACTATCGATATTCCACTCTTCGTTCTAAAATTTTACAAACAAGGTGAAAAAACACATTTTTTAGATTCATTCGAATGTGACCATATTAAGCAAATATTGAAACATATGGATGGAGAGAAGTGTTTTTTTTCTTCTACACACTCCAGTTAGTGATAAGGAAGATGAAAAAAATAATAATTTCTGTTGAATTGCGCAAAATGTTATCGCTTTTGAATATTTACACGTGTTTTACAATTTTATTGCAATTTTAAAGGTTAATTTATGAGATCAAGGTGAAGCAAAAAAAAAAAAAAAATAAGTTGGAAAAACTACGCTTTTTCTAATCAAATCATATTCCCAAAATAAAGAATCATAAACATTATCTCGAAGACTCATTTATTTATAACGCTTGTAAAAAAGGAACACACGCTGCAATCATAACATATTGGAGTCGGAATCCCATTCTACGAGTTATCTGGCTGTTTCTAAGAATTTAACAATCACTAAATCAACATCATTTTATTTCCTCCGGCGACATTGTATTCCGACTAAATCAAATTTTTTTGAATAATGTCGAAATGACATTATTATGTTGAAATAACATTTTGTCGAAAAAATGTTACTCCGAATACATTTAAGTATAATTGTATTTTCACCGAAATATGTACAATTGAGTGTGCGTTGAAATTATAAATCGTTGCGAAAGCATATTGAATGAAATAAACCGAATACAAAGAAACCTCAAATCGCCTTCAATGCTATTTAAAGATATTAGCTCATAAATTACTTGCAAACTAGCACAATAGAATAACAAATTCTGCTGTTTTTTACCCTTAAATTTCGTAATTACCTCAATTTTCATTGCATTATTATCCACGTCAGCAATGTCAAATGGTTTTTTATGTTGCACATTCACCGCGCTATCGCCAGTAGCTGTGTGCAAATCAAAATCTTTCATCGCAAAGTCCATTTTCGTATAACTTTTTATTTTTCGTCTGAACGCTTTTTAATCGATTATCTATGTTCCTTTCTCTCTTTCTATAAGTTTTTTTTTGCGTTTCTTTCTTCGTTCGTTATTCACTCGTTCACAAAAAATACACCAACAACACAATCACCTACAAAATGAAATGATCGCGTGCACAGAAAATTCTTTCGAATGTATTTTCGAATAATCATTGATTTTATGAAATATGATTTATTTAATTATTTCACACAACTTGTATACACACTCATTGTTAAATGTTAATGTATTACTGGAAGGTTCTTCAAATGAATACGTTGAATTGGGTTGAAATTACACTGCATCGCTGTCAAATTGGTAAGAGAGCGCGCTCACAACGGTGACATACGGTAAAATAATAATAATGAAATGTAGAGCAAATCGTTTTACTATCGAATACACGTATTTGTGTCAAACGCTCAAAAAACCACAACACTATTTTAAATTCCAAAATGTATGCGATGATTAATAAATGCCCTTTTAACTTAACACACACACACACAAATCTTTCACTGATTGCTGGATGAATTGCTGGTTCCTTTGTTTTTATTGATAAATGTAATTATCTCAAATGTGTGTTTTTTTTATTCGGTCGGTCGTGATAGTTGATTCATACAAAAATATGGTGTCGCTTTTGAGTTCGTCGCAAACGGCGAACGTACAATAGCTTCGTATTTTTGCGAATGAATTGTACGGCGAAAGGTAAAGCTGATGCAACTCCTTTCGAATTTTGGGCCAAATTAATATTTTCGGCCAATTTTCTTCGATTCTCTCTTACTCTTTGTACGGTGAATGTATAGCGAAATACGCAATAATGGAATAATACAATCACTTTTGTAACACACACCAGACGGGTTTGGTAATTACCGAATCCGATTCGTATACGTGGACTTGCCATAAACAATTTTATAGCACAACATTAGGTCATGTTTACACAAAGAGAGAACCTATTATTTGAATGACAATTGTCATCACTGACGAAATACCAGTATTGTATCTATTTATTTATTGGTAAATTGATTATTTTCAATGTAGTTTTATGTAAATAGTGATTTTTTTTGTAGAAACATACGGAATATCACATTAAACATGTACAATTTTGATAGTATTGAACCAAATGTTTCACGAATACGAATAAAGACGGGTTTACACGTGACACAAATTGTTTGCGGCATAGAGAATGCTCAGTTTGGTTCGCCATATTGAAGAAACTGAGGCACATACATGAGTTGACTATTGATGTGAATGTGTTGGTGTACACGCATACAGATTGGCTGAACTGGAAAAACAACATGTTGCTTCGTATTGGATGCGTTTGTACAGTTGAAGATGTGCCTGCGTGTGATGGCAGCTCTTATTAAATGACGGCAGCATACAAATACTCATACGCAAAGCACACATATAGTGTTAGTATGTAATTGCATGATAAAGTATTGAGTAAATTTTGACATATTTACGACACAACAGCCGTACGTATCGGAACGTACCCATTGAATGTATCACACCTATTAAAAACGATTGGAGTTGTGTGTATTATTTTTTCTCTCCCATTGCAATGGAACGCTGTATTGGAATTTAAAGATTTTTGAAGTTTCAATGCTCTGAATCAGCGTAATGAGTGGCATGCCACGAATGAATAAACAAATCGAGATAAGCGAAAGAAAAAAATGATTATTTTTTCTAGAAACAAAACAAAAAATAGCTACAACGATAACTAGTATCGTTTAATTCCGTTGACCATAGAAGGAATTGTTGCGAAAAAAAATCGTTTTTTTTTCTCTCGTCCAATATCTCAAGACTATGACGTATGACGAATGCCAGTGTAATTGCACAAGTGAAATGGCAAAAGAATTCCATATATCCATTTGAAAACAAGTACATGTATGCATATGCGAAGTGTGTTGGCTCGCGCACATACAAACAAATATTAAGAGAGTGTAAGAGAAAAAAAAAAGAAGCAATTTCATTGAGATATTTTAATATTTGCGAATATATCCATATCGATATATTCGTCCGTGGGTACCAACATACGCATACCCACACTCACATATTTGTGGCCACACATACAATGATATAGAGAGTGCCACCAGTGGCAATGCCGAATGACGACTTCCATAACGAAGCACATGCACGCATACATCGATGGCATGGGGCAGCCTGTGTATGTTTTATGGATGTTTTTGTGGCTCTTTGATTGCTGCTGTTGCTGCTACATTACTACTGCCTCGGTGCTATGTGAGTTTCGTACACACAAACCCAAGATGTATCATTAAATTAATAATTAAAATGGCTGAAGATACATCATTTAACAGTCTTTCGTTTTGATTTCGCGTTTAGTTCGTAACTTGTTTAAATAAAAACCATTTCTTGTCGTATATTTTTTTTATCTATTTGTTTGTTTGTGTTTTTTTTTTAATTTTATTTCAACTCAAGTGAAAAAGAGAGAGATAAAAAAGGGAAATTTATCGAAATTGGTTATGCGAGTGAACACTTGAAATTCCAGTGAATACGATAAAAAAAAATCAACAAATTCGTGAAAAGTGTCTCAAAATCAAACACCAAATTCACGAAACCAACAAAAAAAAACACACACACACAAATTTACAACAATCCGATATATTGATACGGAGCTTAAGCACACAAAACGATTAAAACGTGAGTTTCAACACGACAAAAAAATAGAGTGAAAAAGTGTCGCCAACAACAGAAAAATCGCCTGTGTATAACACACAGAGAAAAAGAGACAGCCAAACGTTCCTATAATAATACATAATTGAAACAACAACAACTTCCCGTGAAAAACAATCAGCAACACCAAACAAGTACACAGCAAAGCAAAACGTTCTGAAAGCAGAAGAAGAAGAAAAAAAGAGTGAATAAGAATTATATTTGAATGGGAAAACAGCCATTTGATTGTTGCTTTGTGTCAAAAAATTCAAAGCGAAGCAGAATAATAAGTTCGGTCGCTTCGACATATATATATATATCAAAAGAAAAGTGTTTTACGAAAAAAAAGTGGTGTATCGTCGTCATCGTCGTTAGTTTTGGTTGTTTTGTATCGTGAGCAGGTTGCGCAAAAGTGGAACAACAACCGAAAACAAAGTTTCATCAAAATACAACAAAAAAGGTGATGTGACTATTTAACTTAATGGTTCTACGAGAAAACGTCAAAACATTTGTGTTCCCAAAAAAAATCCAAACCAAATCTAATAAAATGAGGATTTTGTATTATTTTGTTTTTTTTTTTTTTTTCATTTGTCACCTATTAAATACGGTACATCAAGCCAAAGTGAAGAGAAGGCTATTGAATGCAAGGCTCTTGTCGTCAAATCAAAGTCATTAACGAAGCGTAAACAATACGCATTTTTGTTGTGATGATTTTCTGTTCTCTTCGGTCGATTCAACGTAGGCGAATCACAAGTGTGATGTAAATGACATGCGAAAGTGAAAAAAAAAAAAAAATTAAAATCCGTTTTGAACGAGTTTCGAGATTGTTTCTTTTTTCCTTGTTAAGTGTGTGGTGTATTTCATAGATTTTTTTTTTCATCTCTCCTACTGAACATTTTTGACACTCACAAATCATTCGCTTATCATTGATGTGCGAAAAATGGCTGGTTTTCACAATGAACCAGCATCGATGGGGCGATGAAATGTTCAAGGCGTTTGTTTTCCTCTCTCTCTCATTCGCTCCAAATTCTCAGCTTTCTCAATGTTAACATCATCGTCGTCGTGTCGTCACCGTGCAATGGTGGAATTAATTTTAGAAAAGATCCAAAATTAAAATGAAACGAAGAAGAAAATCATCATCGTTAAGTACATGCATAAAGATAAATTGAAAATGGCAATGAGCGATGAAAAGCAAGCAACGAGAAGCAAAAGAAAAAAAAGGGTAAAAGCGAGAATTGTTTTGTGCCATAGAGATTTTACATTGCGTGAAAAATGTATCCACCATATAACACACACAAAATGCCTTTTTTCTCTCGTTGGATCGAAGTGAATGAGTGCGGAAAATATAACAAGCGCGTAATTTCATCATGCATTGAGCTTTCAAGTGTGAACTGAAAAAAAAACATACAAATCCATTACTCTGTACGCAGCAAGAGAGAGTGTTAAAATGTTATTTTTAGAATTTGTTTTATTCGCGCAGATAAACAGTTACAAGAGAAAACGTTTTGTTTCATTTTAGTGTGTTGGCGAGATATTTTATCGCTTCACTGTTCTCTCTCATTCTTCTGTTTTATCAAATTGGATTATAATTTTCTCCAAAAAATGAAACAACGAATGAATGAGTTTGAAATAGTTTCAAAAAAATGATAATTTCTTGGACAAGAACACATAGGACAGGGGGAGGGGATTTCCATGTGCACGAACATAAAATTGATGTGAAGAAAAGCGAATATCCTCAACTATTTAGCAATAATGTTTACCTCATTTTATGCGCTTGCACGCAACACTTTCTTCCTACCGTTTCTTGCTGCAATAAAAAAAAGCTACAAAAAAGTGAAAAAAAAATAAGAAAAAGGTTTTACCTTCAAATTGACTCATAAATAAGTCCTTCCGTGAAAAGAGTGCATGAAACGGCAGTGAAAAAAAGCACACCAATGAGCCACACACTAAAAATGTGCGATAAGAGTCATTTCCATCGATCACAAATGTATTGAAAAACGAAGTAATAATACAGTGTGTCGCCACATAAACCAGTCAAGCATGTGTGTTTTGACAATGTCCAAAAATCAAACAATTTCCAAAATGATAAACAAACGTAAAGAATAACAAAGACAAATCGCATTCATTGTTGTTGTTGTTGTCGATTTTATGTTCCTTTTGGTTTTATTATTTCTTTTATTCTTTTGTTTCGTTCTCAGATTGAATTTCTACTATTATCAGTGGTTTGCCTGGGCAAACAAACCAAATGATAAAGTCTTCTAATCATCGTTGTCATCGTCTTTGTCGTTGTTGTCGTTGGTTCGTTTGCACAATGCACATACGCTGGTATCAAATCGAAATTAGCTCGACCTACAACAATTTGCTCTGATAATAATGCATTGCTCTTTTCGTAGCGTACGGTTGCGTATATATATATATGCTCACGTACAATGTATTGTGTATGAGCAATATGTGAAATGACATGCGCTTCAATTTATCGTTTTGTGTACGATTTTTTCTTGATTGATTAGAACAAATGCAGCGATGCATTCATTCAGTGTGTATGTTGCACACAAATCGTTTTAAAATGCTTCTTCATCCACACATGTCAACATAGAATTTCTCAATAGAAATAACGGATGCATTGGGATGTATGTGTGTTTGTGTGTGCAGACCCATGCACCAATAGCAATCATACGATGGCGATACATCGAAGGGATTGAGAATTGCATATGAAAATATGTGACACATAACGTGCTTATTTATGGATTTCAACACTGGATTTCCATAAATACACACTGAGGCATTGTTATCAATATTGAACTGATATTTTCTGGCTTTCGCAACAACAACAACATTAACAAATTCAATTCAAATAATGTCATTCAATGCTCATCTATTTATACTTTATGGCACATAATTTGTGTGCTCTTGGTGACTCATTCAATTTTCTCTCTTGATTGGGTCTATCATCTCATTGTTGTTGTTTTACATTTTATTTATCCAACGAGTGATAATTGGGTGCACTGACGGAACGAAACGGTGTATGATGATAAAAGTTAAGCAACGAACAGCACAGTCACATGAACATTTTGTGAAAAACAATTGAGCATTGAGGCTAGCACAACAATCGATTTCTTGTTGCATGACATTATCGTTTAGGGTGTTGTCATGTTCACATGTATTATGTGTGACTGCCTCACTATTTCGTGTTGATTTGTTTTTTCACGATTTCAGTCCAGAGTAAAATAACAATTTGAATTCGTATCTCACATATGTCCATGTCCGCATTTGTGCGATCAAATTAAAGTGAAAGACACAGAAGTCATACGAAAAAAAATAAAGAAGAAGTACACACATAAAAACGAAGAGGAAAAAGAATAAAAGAGAACGACGCGGCGACACAAAACGAGTAGAAAAAACAAACAGCAAAAAAAATCGTTATTTTTTATCATCATTTTTAACTATATTCAACTAGACGTAGTAGATTCATACAAATCACTGTTGCTCTCTGTTTCATTTTCGAAAATTTCCAAGAAAACTGAGTGAATAAGTGTGCGACAACAGTTCGTCATCACATTCATAACCCGTCACTTAAATTCTTTCGATCTTAATGAAACAATTTTTGAATGTTCATATTTGGCTGCATATTTGACTGTTGAGTCTGACTTGTTTCTCTCTTCTTTTTCTCTCTCTTTATTCAAATGGAATTTTTAATTCTAATGTCATCTCGTTCTACATCATCTTTTTTGCATTTCTTAAATTTATGTATACAAAAAGCATATTTGTTGTTTTTCATTACAGCGAACTCATTTCGCATGAAATTTATTAATTTTATGAATCGTTTTATCTTTCCATTTTACAGGCAGTTTTAAACAAGTGGCAACAAGTGTGAACGGTTTCAACAGAAATTAGATGTGCCGTGTGTGTTTTTATTTGCCTCTTGGTCGTTGTTAATTTCATATGAATAAATAAATCAATGATCATCATGAATGGTGCCGTAGTTAAATAAATTTAAACGTTTAAAAAAAACCGAATTCGAAAAGAATTTACCGAATTATAAACAGGATAAGAGGCACAATATCAATGAATAGAGGAAACAAATAAACAGAACAAAATCACATTTGTAATATACGACAACCACAAGTATACCACACAAATCTAAAACAAAAGAAAATTTGATTATAATCAAGTTGTGCTCATTTCGGTGAGGAGGGCAAAAAATGTCCGTTTGGAGTTGGATACGAGTTGATAATCGATGCAACAGACTTCAAAATAATGCAATCCACGACCGATTTGGCTTCCAGCGGCAATTGCTCTCGCTACATTCTACAGGTAAATTGTTACAGGCTTATAACCACCATTGCTCTTTCCATTCAACATTTCAATTTCAATTTAATCTGTATCAATTTCGTGCACGTATTTTCTCGGCTGACATTGAATTCGTGCAATGAAAACCACGTGCTCATCAATCTTTTCTTTGCTCTCTATTTTCGAATTTGAATGTTCATTCAGGTTTATGTTGGTCAATTGTCATTGCACTATGAAGCGCTTAGCGTTGAAGCTTCCAAACAAACGACCGCCGAAGAAATTGTAGCATGCATTGTGGAACGTCTTAATTTAACGGTAAACAATAAATCTTTTTCTGTTGTAAAACAATGACAGCATGTTTGTCGTTTAAACCACAATAAATGAGCACACAATGTTAACGAGAGAAAAAGAAAGAGAGAGGGAGGGAGCGAAAAAAATCCAATTTTAATCACTGGTCATGTTTTTGATTGTCGTGTTTTGTTTTTTTTTTTTGTCCTCTCTTTGTTTCTCTCTCTGTGTGTGTTTTTTTATTCATGTTCTTTTTTCGTCGTCATTTAATTAAATATATCTGCATTCAGGGAACGAATTATGAATTGGCCGAAGTGGCTGGTGAAAGTAAAGAGCGACGCTTATCACCTGATGAAAAACCGGTTTCAGTAATGTTGCTATGGCCCCTTCACTCCGAAAGAGATTTTCACAGGTAATAAAACATTGTTATTAACATTAAATTTGAAACCGAATGAACCGCATATGAGTTTGAAAAGAGAAACAGAAGCGCGATTTATGGTAAAACGATAAATATATATGATTAGTTAAAATGATGAATTAGATTGGATTATTTGACCCAAATACAATGTTTTGTTTCTGTTTTGATTAAATTTAAAAATGTGTTCAATGTTTAAAACGATTTTCGATTTACTTTTGCATTTCGGTGTAGATTTTATTTGCGAGAATCACAGGGTGAAGCGCCATGGCTGGACAATTACGGACTTGATTTACACATTTTTCGAGATTTCATACCGTTCTTGTTTCAACCGGAGAATCGTGAATATCCAGATTTGTGCCAATTACTCGACCTAAATGAGTCAACACTTTTGGAAAATCTTCGGCAACGTTTTGTTGCCGGCCACATATACACATACGTCGGTAGTATTTTGATTGCGGTCAATCCATTCAAATTCTATCCCATTTACAATCCAAAATATGTGAGACTTTATCAAAATCAACGTGTTGGACCAATTTTACCACCACACATATTCGCAATTGCAGATAATGCATACTACTGTATGTTAAGAGAAAAACGTAATCAGGTAAATTTCAAACGAAAAACATTACACATCCAATTGAATATACTTTATATATGTTGTGTTCAATTTGTTTTAATTGCAGTGTGTAGTCATCAGTGGTGAGTCTGGTTCTGGTAAAACGGAGAGTACAAACTTTCTGTTGCATCATTTGACGGCATTGTCACAAAAGGGTTCACATGGATCGGGTGTTGAGCAAACAATTCTCAGCGCTGGTCCAGTTTTGGAAGCGTTTGGCAATGCAAAAACGGCACATAACAACAATTCTAGTCGATTTGGTAAATTCATTCAGGTGAAATACAAGGAAAATGGAATGGTTCAAGGCGCCATCGTACAAAAATATTTACTTGAAAAGAGTCGAATCGTATCACAAGGACCATTAGAACGAAATTATCATGTGTTTTACTATTTACTATCTGGCGCAACGCCACATGAACGTGAGCTTCTACATTTACTTCCTGCCGATAAATATTGTTATTTAAATTCAAAAAATCTTCAATTGGAGAATTGCGATGAAACGTATGAATTTTCGCGGTTAAAACAAAGTATGGAAATGGTGGGTTTTTCAGCCGAAAAACAGAGACGCCTATTCAATGTATTGTCGGCTGTACTACTGCTGGGCAATGTCGAATTCTTTCCAAAAAAATCCACTTATCATCATGATGAGAGTGTTCAGGTGCGAAACATCGATGTGGTCGGTCTAATATCCGAATTGCTTAAAGTAAAACAGGATACATTGTTGGCGGCGCTCACATCGAAACGTGTTAAGGCCAGCGGCGAAACATTAATTATGCAATACAAATTACCAGAAGCAATAGCAGCACGTGATGCACTTGCAAAATGCCTATACGGTGCTCTATTCGATTGGATTGTATTACAAGTGAATCATGCACTTTTGAATAAAGACCAACTGCCTCATACAGGCCATTCAATTGGCGTACTCGATATATTCGGTTTCGAAGACTTTGATTCGCAAAACAGTTTTGAGCAATTGTGCATTAACTATGCCAACGAGCATCTACAGTATTATTTCATATTACATGTTTTCAAGTACGAACAAAACGAATATAAAAAGGAGGGCATTAAATGGCGAGACATTGAGTTCATGGACAATTCAGGTTGTTTGCAACTATTTGAATCAAAACCAACGGGCCTTTTATGTATTTTAGATGATTTATGCAAGTAAGTGCCATTTTTTCAGGTTTTTTTTTACCACACATATCGTTCAGTTTTATTAACAATGTTATTGAGCGTAAATGAACAACGGAAAAGTGTTTTCCGGTGCCACTTTACAAACATAGCAAAAGAACGTAATTAATTTTTTTTAAACCAATCAATCGATTAGTTATAATTAACAGCTTCCCATAAATATTGTGATTTTTTTCTTTCGTTTTTTCAGTTTTCCGGGAGCCACAAATGAAACGCTTTTACAAAAGTTCAATAGTGTACATCGCGATAATAAGTTTTACGAGAAACCGCAAAAAAAGGAAAATGCATTCATTATCCGACATTATGCAGGGAAAGTAAAATATCAGGTAAATTATATTAACTGTAATTGTGGCCTGAAAGGCCATCAATGAAAATTCAATTGTGATGAAGTACATTTTATCGCCTTATTACATTGATGATGTAATATTTTCCACCCACATTAGGTTACTGAAATGCGGGAGAAAAACTTAGATTTAATGCGACAAGACATAGTTAGTGTATTGAAAAATTCGAGTATGGCATTCGTGCGTGAATTGGTGGGCGCCGATCCGGTTGCTGTATTTCGATGGGCAATACTTCGGGCATTTTTCCGAGGTTATTTTGCATTTCGTCATGCTGGTATGAAACATCGTAAAGAACGAAATAGTCAGTCGATTAAATCGAATCGCATAAGCCGATTCCGAAGTCCCAACGAATCAATACTAAGGTGAGCAACAATACACAATACAAATGTTTTCATTCATTTCCATAAACAGAAAAAAAAAAAAAAAATTATTTGATAACATGGAATGTAAATAATATTCAACATGAATTGAATGAATAGGCCCTTATCAATAGAGTCCGTCAATAATTTTGTTGATCAATCAAATTACTAATCAACAATATTCTTTTCTTTAAAAATATTCATTTCTCTTACACGTTGCTCAGTCATCTGATTACCGTTTCATCGGTGAATCTAACAATCTACCGAATAGCGTAAGTTCAACGTCGTTCATGTGAAAATAGCCAATCGAATATTGTCATTTTGTTTTCTAAACATATGTGTTGTGACGCATACAATTTTCGTTCACATTTTCGCTGATTTGTTTATGTTTCGTTCTCTCTTTTTTTTTCATTCAAACAACGATGAATGTTTAATAACGTTTATTTTTATCTCTATACTTGAAATACACGGCGCTTATTCTCCTCATTCTCGTTTTGTTATTTTTATTCTGACTTTTTTGTTATTGTTACATTGTTGTCAACGTCCTTTTGTAAAATGCATGCCCCCTCCTCTAATTTCGGTTTCGTGTCCTAATATAATTGTTTATGTTGATTTATTTTTACTTGTCGTACGATCGAAATGCTACCGCAATTCTAATGGTTTTTGGCGCGTGTTTTTACAGGAAAAATAAATCATTTCGACCACGTGAAAGACCCAAAAAAGGATTGAAAAATCTACAAACTGTTAAAACTCTAACAGCTGGACAAAATCAATTGAATTCAACCACAATAAAAACACGCAAGCAGCCACTTACCGTCACCGCACAATTCCAGAATTCATTAACCGCATTGATGGACACTCTGAATCAGGTGCGTTTTTCGTTTCTTCACCAATGATTATACTTTGCCACTCAAGTGGCCCAATTTTGCATTCTAATAATATATTTTGCTTTTCAGGCGAATCCATTTTTCATTCGATGCATAAAATCAAATTCGGAAAAAATTCCAAATAAATTCGACGATGCGACTGTTGTACGACAGGTAAGTCTTCGAATATACTTTTGGATTTCGTGAATGTTACTAAACACTTAAAATGTATTCTCATATAGTTACGCTACACCGGAATGCTGGAAACTGTGCGAATTCGTCGGGCTGGTTACAATGTCCGGTTGACGTATGAAGAATTCATTCAGTTATATCGTATTTTATTGCCAAAAGGTCTAGTCAGCTCGCAACGAGATGTGCGCACTTTTATGGATAAAATGAACCTCAATAAGCAACATTATCAATTAGGTAATAGCCAATTCACCGTGATATTATGTTTAGCTTCAGCGAAGAGTCATATGTTTCATTTTCATTTTCAGGAACCACAAAGATCTATATGCGTGAATCTCAGAAAATGTCCTTGGATTATAAGCTGCACACAAAGATCATTGAAAGTATAGTGTCGATTCAGCGATGGTTCAAAACGAAAATTCAACGTGAGAAATTTACATCGTTTCGTACGGCTGCCATTAAAATTCAATCATTTTGGCGAATGCGTATGGCACAAAATAAACTTTATCAATTGAAATTGCGAACGAATGCTGCCATCGCAATTCAATCAATGTTCCGAATGTATCGAGAGCGAAAAATGTATAAGAAACTTTTAAATGGTTTGGTAGCATTGCAGGCACACATTCGTGGCCGTGCAGCACGTATACGCTTCAAACGATCCCATCGACAAAAAGTGATGAAGGAACGATATAAATTACGACCAACACAAAGTTTGCCATTGCACGATCGAACGGCCGATGGTGAGGCGATCGATGTTGAAATCAGTAAATCATATCCAAAATTGGTTCAGTACAGTTTGGATTTGATTGGTGAAAATGTGAGCGGTATTGATGCCACCAAAAGTCAAGCATCGTCATCATCATCATCAATCACATCCACGACTGCTGCTGCTGATCATGACGTTAGCGTACTGAATAAAGCAGAGCATCAATTTAGATCGTTAATGATTTCAACAAAGGGTAGCGGTGTGAGCGATCATTCAATAAGTGATAACAAACGGTTTGGCATCGAAAGTGTGGATAGCCGCAGTCCAAGGTCATACAATGTCGACACAGCGACAAAGCAATATTTTGACGATTCCTTTATGGTTAAAAAGTAAGCATATTTATCTATAAAATGAATATGAAAATAATTTTTATTCTGTCGATTTTTCTAATCATGGTTACCCTTTGCATTTATTTCAGATGGGAAATCTCAAAGTCCCCTGTTCGTTTAATTGAAAGTAGTTATAGTAGTCCAAAAAGACAACCGGTTTCAAATTCGAGCCTGAAATCGGATCCACGTGAAATGTTAACTTATAATGTAAGTAGTACGAGTATAACGAAGAAGCAGCCAATGACAGGCTATCCGGAAAGCACATATACAGTTTTGAGTAGCAAAGATAAGCCAAGTGCAATAGCAACAACAACAACAACAGCTACGACCTCTGTTGCTACAACAACAGTATCGGCAAATAGCTTAACATCGTCGCTGATGATGTTAACAACGATGAGTAAAAATCAAACTCATCGTCGTGAATTGAACACTGGTTTGTCGTATGATGAAACGAAAATGGCTAGATACCATGGGCCGACGGATCTGAGTCCACAACATGAGATGTATGCAAATAGTTCAATAATCAATAGCAATAGTAATAAACAACAACAACAACCAACACCACCGGACAATATGCATTTAATGTCACAAAATAATACTCAAACAAAATTGAATAGCACACCGTTTAAGCATCTAGTCCCATCAAATAATGAAGAGGTATGCACGCCACGCGGAAAAGCGGCCGCACTTCTTGGAACAAATGATTTATCAGCAACAGGAACAACCATGGTGGCAGCAACAACAACAACGACCACCAAATATAAGCTATCAGATAGCGGTGTACCTCACCATCATACGCCAACAAGAGTCAGCCCATTTTTACAGCATTCCAAATCACGGCGCAACTCAGATCCCAGCTCGAATAAAATGTCATTGCTTGAAGCTAATCGCGGCAATGACATGTATCAATCGAGCACACACATAAATATTGCCGGTCATCGTTTTCATAAAGCAACGAAAATTGGAAAGAATGAAAAATGTGCCAGTTGCCAGGAGAATGATGCATTCATCAATGAAGGTCATCGGTGTTTGGATTGTCGTTTACTTGTGCACACAAAATGCATTCAAAATGGTGGCGTTAAAACGTTACAATGTGAAAAATCATCGAAACGACAACCGCGCAAAAATTCCGATAAAATCTCATCGAAATACAGTGGAACACGTGAATACACCGATTCGGCTGACAAAATTATAAGCGATGCCAAGGAATTGCAATTAATGCAAGATTTTATCGCACAAAAAATTTACAAAATGGATGCCGATTGTGATAAAACTGCTGCCGTTGATCGAGTTTTCAAGCAGGCATTACGCGAATTTAAAGACAATTTAGTGGCACAATATAGTATTGCACATAAACAAAAGTCGGATACGCTTAATATAAAATACCGTGATCTGATTTCGAATTTTGAACAAGTCATGGAAACATGCGGCAATAAATCAGAAGATTTTCCGCTGACAATGTGCGTCAACGGTTTTCGTGTGTTTATGAACGAATTTATGAATTCACGCGAAATGGAAAAACCAAAAGCCAAACGGAAAAAGGAAAAGAAACGAAAAGTTGACGAACATACCAATTACAATGGTAAGAAAGAAACGAATTATTATACTTATACAAGTGTTAATTCTAATTGGATTTTCCAATGATTCATTTTTTCAGGTCATATATTCCAATTAACAATAATTAACATACCGACGGCTTGTGAAATATGCCAGTTGTTTTTACTTTGGCCAATTGAACGTGGTTTGGTATGTATTTAAACTATATACAGTAATATTTGAATTGAAACACAATATCTAATCCTGATCGTTCATTGTTTATTGTCGATTTTATAGGTGTGCCAAAATTGTCGACTTACATGTCACAAAAAATGCTATTTAAAAACGCAACCATGCAACAAAAACCAAAATCAATCAAACGATAACGCAAGATACATGCCGGTATCAACGTCTGGATTGTTTGCGGTTCCATTGACCAGTCTCAGTTTATGTTGTATGGAGGATAATACGGTTAAGATACCCGTGAAAATCGAACAATTAATTATGAAAATTGAAATGCATGGTCTGTACACGGAAGGTTTGTATCGTAAGAGTGGCGTCAATTCAAAAATCAAAGAGCTTAAAGTAAAAATGGCCGAGGCCAAAGGTGAAATCGACTATGAATTGTACAATGTTCATGTGTTGGCCAATGTATTGAAATCATTTTTACGTGAAATGCCCGAGCCACTGTTAACATTTGATCGATATGATGATTTCTTGCGCGCTTCCGAATTATCCGAAACAACCGATCGGGTTTCAACGATGATGTCACTCATCAAAAAATTACCGGCAGCCCATCATGCACTATTAGAACGATTAATATTCCATTTGGCATTGGTCGCACAACGTGAACAATTCAATCGAATGTCAGCCAGTTCGTTGGCCATTGTCTTTGCACCGTGTGTATTGCGTACAAATCGTATAGTTCCAGCCCAAGATAGTTTGAATGACATTGGACGCCAAACAAAATGCATTGAAACATTGATCACCCAAAAAATGTTCAACGTTCGATGTACATTAAATGATATTCACAGTTTGGATAATGCTGCGCATACGGCTACCGCACGATTGAGTAACTTAAGAAGTTCAAAAGTTTTTACTCCCGAAGAAATCTTCCCGCGTCCGCAGAGCATCGAATCTGAGAGTGAAGAAAAATTGCTCGAAGATCATATTCAAGAAATCGAAATGGAAAAGGCAATATTAACATCAACGCTACCAAGTTTGGCACGGGCCAGTTCGGACGATGACTTTTTATCGACGGATATGGATGGTGAAGGCGGAAGTCTGGACGATTTAACAAGCAGCCGATTGGATGAGACTACAAAAGAAAGTATTGATTCATCGTTTGGCAGTATTAGCGAACAGCAATTTAGTCCGATGAATGAACATGAATCGATCAACAAAGATTCAAACAGTGGCATGGATTTGGAATCACCGGTTGCATATTATAATTTACGTGAACAAAATATCGATTATTTGCCACCGTCGAATGTTCCAATTCGGCAAATGTTTCAGTTTAGTGGCATACGAAATATGGGCGAAAGTGCACCATCAACATCGACAAGTGTGGACTTTCAATCGCCACCACAAATTCATGCAAAACTTGTTGATAGTCAAAAGAGCAGTTCGGCATCTATTGATTCATCAAATCTTGGTGAATTTCAACACATTCAACTGAACGCAATGCCACGGCAACAATCAAATTTTGAAGCAACATTTCTTAATCAACCGGATGACGATAACGCACGAACAAAAAAACAAAAGCCAACTAAACGTCGTACCATTGACGACAAGCCAATTATGGTGTGAACATACTTATACACATACACACACCCACACCCAAACACACACATATATAAACATTGAAATCAAATTGTAACAAAATAGCACATTTAAGAGAAACATTTAATAAATGAGAGAGAACCCATACATTTAGAATGCTATTTACAACACAACAAACAAATTGAGAAGAAAACATTTATATTTATAAAATTCATAGTGCAAATGTGAAACAACAGAGAATTTATTGACAACCAACCACAACACAACTAATGGAATTATTAAAAGTTCAGTTTATTGAGTATCACAAATATCACAAATCACTATTTTCATGTAAAAAAAAGTCCAGAAAAAAGCCAACAAAAAAATAATAATAATAATAAATATGCGCACTTTGAGAAAATATTATTTTTTTAAATATGTTTTTTTGTTATTTTTATTTCTAAAAAATAAAGTATGTTATATTTAATATTGAAAGATGATGCAAATTAATTACAAATTTGATTCATTAGCGTTTCTCATTTTGGATAAAATGAGAGTGAAATAAATTTAAAAAAAGGAAACAAAACGATTGTATTTAAAAAAAAAAGTTACTTAAATTGAGCAAAACAATTAAATTTTGTCCTTATTGAAACTGAACTGAATCGGTGTTGTTATTATTACGGGCGTCTTTTTTGTTTCTCTTTTTCTCATCTTGCATTCAGAGATTATAAAAAAACAAAAAATTTCCTCGTTTTTGAGAAAGAAAATTATTCAGATTTGCTGAGGATTTTCGCCGAAAAAGTAATGGTATTTTTCTGAGGTCCTGAGATTTCCATTTTTGCTTGTTTTTCACTGTCCTTGTCCCTTCCCCCTAGACGCTTCTGCATGGGCTTAATGAGTTTAGAGATTTTTCTAGTCTAGTTGTTAATTTGGCTAATGAATGGATGAGTAAATTACTGTTACGTATTTTGCAGGCTTAAGTGAAAATTTGAAATTCGCCAGATAACGAAAAATGTACCGTTTCTGGACCTCTACTTTTGCTTTTCAAATTAAAACTTTATTCAGGTAATTAATGTTAACTCTTAAACATGAATTTCTCGAATGCGTGAATTGAAAAAAAGTGTAAGTATTTTGTATATGCAAGAATTAAAATCGGCAGCATGATGGAAGAATGCAAGAGTTGGAATTTATGCATTGTGTGTTAGGCTTGTCCAATTTCAGTTCTCCCTGGGATTTTTTTGTCTAATGCCATAATATTGAAGTTTCAGTGCCATAATTTGAATTTTTGTTGATTTTCAATAAAATACTCAAATTATAATATGGATACCGATGCAATGCTGAGATACACTATAATTTGAAATAACGTGTCTATCTGCAGAGATTGTGAATACTACATATTTTCTCATGACATTCATTTAAATCAGGGGATACCGCCTCTTAAATGCAGATATTTTAATTTACAAACGACAAACGAATGAGTCGCTACTAGAAACCTATGCAGATAATCGAAACGATGTTTTCTATCTACAAATACAATATAGCGACTGATTCAATTTGGCGTATTGGCATATGAATGCGCAGCTGTACAGCTCACACACATGTGTATCGCTCTGAAGTGGGCTGCGATGGAATATTAATATTGGCGGTTTTCAATCATTGTTATGTTCCTTTTTTCTTGTGTGGATTAAATGAGTTAATGAGTTTTCTAGTCTAGCAGTTAACGTCATTAATGACTAGATGGGTGATTTTGGAACGACTACAAAACGGTATATGCGACTAGCCACTATACTTTACAAGTGGTGGCCTTTTTTATGCCAAAAGCTTTTGGAGTTGAACATGAGACTATCGGAAAATGGAGAATTAATGAAGTTTTCCTTATATATTCTTATTTTGAATAGAGTCTTCCAATGTAAACTGACATATTCAGGGGTAAAAAGACATTATTACACAAATGGTTCAAAATAAAATTAAAGTTGTTGCATTCGTTAAAAACGCAAAAACTTTATTGGATTTTAGTTAGAAAATATAAAGCTGTTTAGTTAATTATGAGCTTAATGTATTCAACGAATTTTCTCTAGTTATCTAAAAACTACTAGTAATAGACTTAGCAGGCTATTGGTTAGATGATCAAGTATATTCGAATAGAAGAGTTGATATCTGCAAATACATTTTCATAAATTACACTTCTTTGGGCAAAGAAATTATCAAAAATGAACAAAATTGGACAAGCCAATCATAGGACGAGCCTAAAAGTGTCTTTTACATGTATTTATATGCAAACGTCATTCTCTGAACTTAAGAAGAATTCCCCTACACTAATGTAAGAGGAACTAGAAGAAATGGTTTGTGCATTGGATAAATTTCCACTATTGTATATTAAATAAGACATGAACCACCACACATTTTCGTTAGTTCGATGTTTATAGGATAGATACAGCGTCATTCAATGTCTGACAACTATACTTGTCCTATGAAGCCAATGCATAGATTCCAACTCTTGCATTCTTCCATCATGCTACCGATTTTAATTCTTGCATATACAAAATACTTTAACATTAATTACCTGAATAAAGTTTTAATTTGAAAAGCAAAAGTAGAGGTCCAGAAACGGTAAATTTTTTATTTTCTGTAGAATTTTAAATTTTCACTTAAGCCTGCAAATCACGTAACAGTAATTTAATCATCCGTTCATTAGTCAAATTAACAACTAGACTAGAAAAATCTCTGAACTCATTAAGCCCATGCAGAAGCGTCTAGGGGGAAGGGACAAGGAGAGTGAAAAACAAGCAAAAAACAGAAAACTTCTTTCTCAAAAAACGAGGATATTTTTTTGTTTCTTGATAATCTCTGAATGCAAGAAGAGAAAAAGAGAAACAAAATAGACGCCCGTAATAATAACAACACCAATTCAATTCAGTTTCAATAAGGACATTTAATTGTTTTGCTCAATTTAAGTAACTTTTTTTATGCTACTTTTTTGCACTATGAATTTTATAAATATAAATGTTTTCTTCTCAATTTGTTTGTTGTGTTGTAAATAGCATTCTAAATGTATGGGTTCTCTCTCATTTGTTAAATTTTTCTCTTAAATGTGCTATTTTGTTACAATTTGATTTCAATGTGTGTGTATATAAGAGTGTTTACACCATAATTGGCTTGTCGTCAACGACGTTTAATTGGCTTTTGTTTTTTTTTGTTCGTGCATTATCGTCATCCGGTTGATTAAGAAATGTTGGTTCAAAATTTGATTGTTTGTTAATTATGAGCTTATTTAACGAATTTTCTCTAGTTAACTAATGGACTTGTTTTGTAGGCTATTGGTTAGATGTTTAACTATATTCGAATGGAAGAGTTGATATCTGCAAATACATTTCCTTTGGGCAAAAATTAGGTCTTTATATTTTCCACGCGTGTTTTACGTTCGATTTGAATAGCTGTAAATGTGAAATTCTCCGGAAACTGATATGGTATGTGAATTGACAGCACATATAAATTCATTGCTGACACTGTTGTTTTGTTATTTGAATAAGTGAAGCATTTCATTTTTCCAAAATAGAACAAAAACGTATTTTTTCACGTCATCCCCACTTTGAATCAATTTTTCCATGTTCGATGTTTTGAAACATGCGCAGTATCAACCGATTGTGAATTTGGTCGCACGTACAACCCACGTCCAGCGAAGAAATTTTCCTGTGCATAAGCAGACGTACAGAAAGGGCACAATTCTTAGTAGAAGTTGTGCAATAAAAAAAAATCCAATTGAAAATTTTCTTCCCAGTCAAATTGACGAAAATCCTTTGGTGAATTTTTGCCGTTTTGGACTAAAACGAAAAACAAAAGGATAAATCATTTAAGCAAAATAAATTAAAAAGAAAAACTAATAGAAAACATTAAACAACGAACATTTAGCCAAGTAATTTTTGACTATTGGAATTTGAACAAAGTGAAGCAAATAACTGAACGAAAAAATGTAAGTGTTAAATACAGCTACTTTCAACGTCAAAATATTGATTTTTTTTCTTCCGTGGATGTTTTTGTGGAAAATGATTTTTTTTTTCATGATTGAAATACGTGGAAAATTTGCAAGAAAAATATTGCAAAAGGTTTTCTTTCTGTTAACGTTTTTGAATGTTTAGCTAGAATTTTATCAATCGATAGTATTATCTATTGATTGATTTTAGTAATTTGAAGAGAAAAAATGGGGATTGTTTCAAAACTTATATACACATAATAGCCATAGCCAGAATGCACGAATCAAATTAATGGACTGTAATTGAATAGCTCAACACTTCGATATTTTCATTCATGACATTTTATACAACCAATGATTCAATTTAATGCGTTGTCGCCCTACAGCGATATATTTTCACATATCTAATTGACGTACGTTCATTGTTCATGTTTCTTTTTTTTTTCATTCGCTTCAGATATACACACATTTCGCTGTTTCTCTCTCATTCACTCTCTCGCTTTTTCTCTGTGTGTCTGACACTGCAACTCCAAAATCTAATACATATCGTTATTTTCCTGCATTACGAATATTTATCGATTTTTCACGAGGAATAGTTTTCAAGCGTGTATCGCATTGTTGTTGTTGTTGTTGTTTGAATCATCCAAAATGAGTATTTTGAATGTTTTATCAAATGGCTGTTTAGTTAGTTCAATCGTTTCAATTGAACCGAAATGAAATCATAATTCAAATTGTGAGATGTAATTGTTTACAAACATGTGAGCGACATTTTGAAAGTAGAGACGAAGAAAGTCAACTTTAAACGTGAAACTTCTACTTTTGGTCAAATTGAAAACGTTAAATATAAAATCGGAAACCTTTTACTTAGCAATTTTATTTTTTTCCGTTTCGTCTGCGGTTCAACGTGATTTGATTGACTTGCATGAGTCAGAGTGAAAACAATTCGTTACGAAAACATGTTTAAACGCTTTAATGTTTATATAACGTTTAAGATACTGAAATTGATATTTTATAAGTGGATAAAATGTTTATTGTGTTTTGCTTATTAGGGCTGATGGTGGTTTAGCTCCAACAACAGAGGGAAACGACGATGGAATCGTTGGAGGACCAAGAACTCCACAACAGATCGCGGCTCAAAGACGATTACAACAAACACAGGCTCAAGTCGATGAGGTACTTATTTTTTTTGAATGGATTCAACATAAAATTTAAATGACTCATATCATCGTGTGCCTCTTCTTTTGTATTTTTTGTTACATGAATGGGAACGAATTTCCAATGATGTGACAAAAAAAGGTGGTCGATATTATGAAAACCAACGTAGAAAAAGTATTAGAACGAGATCAGAAGCTATCGGAATTAGATGATCGGGCCGATGCATTGCAACAGGGTGCATCACAATTCGAGCAGCAAGCCGGTAAACTGAAACGAAAGTTCTGGCTTCAAAATTTGAAAATGATGATCATAATGGGAGTTATTGGGCTTGTTATTGTGCTAATAATTGCGTGTAAGTAGTTCACAAACAAAACATTTTAATCCCACAAAAAAAAATTGGATAAATTTCATTTTTTTTAAAATATTAAACGATCATTTATTCATTAAACTTTCACAGCCAAATTGGGCCTCATAGGCGGTGATACTCCACCACAGCAGTATCAGTACCAATCACCACCACAGGCACCAGTGCAGCCAGTGCAGCCAGTAGCTGGTGGTCAAAAACTTTGGGAGGATCAAACCGATCTATTGTCAAATATTAAAAATTAAAGTTAACCGAAATGAAGTGTGCGCAATGTGCATATCTGAATTTGTTTTGTGGAAAATTCGCTTTAGCGAATCGAAAGACATTTCAGTAATAATTAACATCCTGCAGTAACAAGCGTACACTTTAATTTAACTTGAATAACAACAACAAGAACAACAAAAAAAAAAACATATGACATTTTTGGTGTTAGTTTAAACTAGTATGCGGATTTGATCTAATTGAATATTTAAACAAAACAAAAACAAAATATGTTCAAAATGAAACGAACGCATACCGCAAACTAAACACCTTCTACACAGCAAAAAAAAAACCACTAAAACATTTCCAAAAAACAACATTTTAATAAACAAGCAAGATGAAAAAAAATTAATATGAATGCGAATGGTCATAAATAGTAAGTTACCGACACATTCCACTATATGAAACGGAACATTTATTAAAACAAATATACAAACATAGAAATCAATTTGCGCGCTTCTCAATTGGTAAAATTGAACTGGTATCACATTTTTTTTGAGAAAAGAAATCCAAAACAAGAAACAACTCTTCCCCCGAACAGTCAAGTAGAGAACAAATGAATCTTTTGTTCGGATATTTTTTTTTAATTCAATGTTCGGCCGATGAGTATCCATTAACGAAACTGAATAACTTCATTCAAACAGCACCGATTGTAAATTGCCAATTCATTTAAGTAAGCGCGTAAACGTGAATAGAAACAAATATGATGAAATAAACCAACAAAAATTAATAGCGAAGCTATAGTCAGCACATGTTAAATGTGCGCCCAAAATAAATCAAAGGACAAAATGCAATATTTGACACCATAAAAAATAACTACGACTCATAACAAATAAAATAGACAAAGCAAAACATTATTGGATAATAAAATAACACAAATGATTGCTTATAAGATACATTTTATTTAATTTTGAACCTTCTGAATGTGATTTGATTTGTTGATTTGTAAATCATTTAATCTCAAATCTGAGAATTCTGTCTCACATTTGAAAAGGAGAAATCACAAGCTGGAGTAACTTTTTTTTTGGTTTACGGATATTTTTTTTATTGCCTTCTATTTTGAACCGTCGGCAAAGGCCATACATAGTCAATGAGAAATGAAAAGTTATAACAACATCACAACCAATCATATTATCATTTATGCATAGACGTTATTTATGTTATGCATTCAGCCAATAGAGAAATTTATTTAACTGTCTTTCCGTTTCAATTTATCTGTGTTTGCTTTCGATTTAATCTGTATAAAAAAATATATACTTAAAGTATAAAACAATCTAATTGGTTGCATCGAATGTGTAAAACAACAAGTGAATAATTTAACAACATTCGGAAAATAGCTCCGAGAAGTGATCCGAATGAAAAATATGAACACATACACACACACACACAAATGAAATCTTAATCAATAGTTTTATCGTAAGCAAAAAAAAAAACAGCAAACTTATTATTCATCACGATTACTCTAGAAATGATGTTCAAAAGAATAACAAACAAAAAAAAATATTTAAAAAAATATATGTATGTAATTTAATTCGAAATATTATTCCCAAAATATGTATATCAGACATTTAAAACAAACAAACAATAAAAATCATAGGAAATTATTCAAAATTAGCGCATTGAGTGTATGAATTAATATATTTTTGTTGCAGTCACAATTTTTAGATTCGCTCGAGAGCACACATTGTACTGCCAGAAATATTTAGCCAGTCGAAATATAGCATGTAACTGAGTTCACCTCTTATTTGAGAGCTCAACTGGCTGAAAGTATCGTTGAATGTGATGCATGGGGCTGTTATGAAATTAGCGACGAAATAGATGTTTAATAGACGACACGATAATAAGCTGGTCCAAGAGATGCTATGCATTGTGGATTTGAACTATTTCCTATACATTCTCTTTTCATCTACGGGCGAGATGAACTAATAAAAAAATGGACAAATGTGTAACAAAATTGAACGCATTTTGTGCGTTAAGATTTGCATAAATTCATGTTTATTGTTTTATAATCGATATGCTTTTTTCTATCTGTCTTTCTTTCGCCTGAAATTGGGAGCCAAAAAAACCGGCAATCTAAAAGGTGATGGTACTACATTGATTACATAATTGTTCATAGCATGCGACGCGCAACGCCGTTTAGACCATTTATGGCAGCATAATCGTTGATAGTGTGGTCGAACCGATGTGGATTTTGGATTATTAATTATTCAATTTTGAAAGTATCATATATATGAGGTGTTCAGCTAAAAATCAAGTTCATTACCCTGTATTTTAAGTTGTTATTTTTTATCTTGCGTTTGGCGTACTATTGCTGCGTATACGAAACTAATGGATAAACCACTTTTTATATTCATTTTCGACACACTTCCGTAACTTTTACTTAGGATGTTTTTTTTGCAGTCTGTATCAATTTCACTTCGTCTGAAATCGTGTGACATACAATACTCCTTGACATTTTACAATTCGTATCTGTAATCATATATTTTTTTAGAGATATCCATTTTTTGGACATTCTTTAGAAATCTAATTTGCATCGATCGACTTAAAATCTATATATATAAGGGTAAAAATTTACGTAAAATGCATTCGCAAAAGTTCATTCATATTCAGAGATTTCTCACAATTATCTTGTTGTCAGTTATCGTCGTTGATTCCGTTACGAAGCGAACAACAACTTTAACAGATATAATGTAGTATAATTAACCAAAAGCAGACCGTTTGTCTTCTCACCACCGATTTTCGTATGCAAATTCATTGTTATAATGACAGCAATCATCTAAAGCGACATTAGCATATATTTCGATTGAAAGCAGAGATATCTCTCTTCTTTTTTTCTTGCGAATTTTTGGTTGCTTCTTTTGTTTTGCAAATTGCATTTGCCCGATACATTGTATGTTCCAAATGGATACACTTTCCTTTTCGTTTTATTCAAGATAACTGGACATTTTTTTTGGGTTGAAAAGATGAATCTCGAAAAAAAAATCGATTACCAATGCGAGCATCAATTTATTCTCTTTCGTTTCATGAATAATTTTTGCTTAAGATCACGCGCACACACACACACATACACAAATTAATCTGTTACCGTAGTACCTCTCATTTATCCCATGTTCATGCACATTTACAAATCGTATGCATAACACATTAAGCGCTGAAACGACACCGCTATTAAAATCATCATAATAATGAATGCATTAAAGAATTGGCGATTCATATGTTACGAGTTCCAATTCATTTAAAATCTCATCAGAAAAAAAAATGTATCTCACAAGCAAACGAACATAACAACAAAGTATAACTCATAATCACCGAAATACTCACCGGCTCCAAAATTAATCGAGCGTTAGTGAGTGTGTGTTTGTGTCACTTTCATTTGATTTTGACCATTCAACAGTTTGTATCTTTGCATTCAGATTTTTGTATAAAAGGCTCTGTTCACTGCGATCAAAGTATCATTCAATCTTCAACTTTCGTCAAGTCAACTCATTAAAAAAACTAAGCATTGAGCTACCAACCATGAAGGTAAAGATCATATCAATTGAAAGAAGACAGTGTTATCGGTTTTTTTGTGTGTGAAATTGTGGAATGAAACGACATTATTAAAAATAATAACAATTTTGTTTGTTTGGTGTTTATTTCCTTCAGGTGTTCGCCTGTGTTGTCTTTGTTGCCTATATCGCTGTTGCCAGCGCTACTCTTTCTGCTCTACTCGGTGGCGGTGGCGGCGGCGGTGGAGGTAGCCAACAGAAAATCGTGAAAATTATTCATGTCGATGGAGGACACTCAGGACATGGCGGTGGTCATGGCGGTGGACATGGTGGTGGAGGTAAAATTTTGATAAACATAAAATTTAATAAATTTAGCAAAATAAATTATTTCATTCATTTATTTATCCAAATTATAGCCCCAACTATTAACTTGATCGTACCTGAAGGAGGTTTGGGTGGCCATTCTGGTGGTGGACATGATCATGGACCACAACAGCATTTCGTTCATGTAGATCATCAACATCATCACCATGAAAGCGGCGGTGGTCACTCAGCTGGACCCGCAATCATCAAATTGATCCAAGAAGAATCGAGCCATGGTCATGGAGGTCACGGTGGCGGATATGCCGCTCCAGCTCCACAAATTGTCAATGTTGTTACCGAAGGTAATAGAAAGTCATTTGACAAATTGTTTGTTGTTCAATTTCATGTAATGTCTTATCACATTCAAACATTCCTTCTTCTTATTATTAGGAGGACATGGTCATGCTCACGGTCACGGAGGATCATCATATGGAGCTCCAGCAGCTCCAGTCATCGTCAAGGTATAATAATTTTCCATGCACTTTTATCAGATTTTCAACATATTTGAACATTCCATTTTACAAAATATACTTTTAACATTGGCAGGTCGTTGAATCAGGACATGGTGGTGGTCATGGTGGATATTCAGGCGGTCATGGAGGTGGTCACTCAGCTCCCCAAGTGATTAAAGTTGTTCAAGAAGAATCGCATGGTTTTTCATCAGGTGGTGGTTCAGGTTGGCAAGATTCTGGTTCTGCAGGATGGTCAAGCGGCGGTGGTTCATCATCAGGATGGAATAATGGATGGGATTAAATAGTTCACAAAAATGTCAAATTGACGATAGTTATTTTCATTTCATTCATCGGTCATTTTATAATAATTTGTGCCAATTTCATTCGATATAGTTGACCATGATAGAGACTATTGTTATATTTATTTTTCTTGTTAAATGAAAAATGTTGTTATTAAACAATAAATAATTTGTTACAAAAAATTAAAATTCGAATATTTTTCAATTGACAACATAACACATATAAATTCTATTTCTTCACGATTCATCAAATTCAAGTTAATAACTGTCTGTTTTTTCTAGAAATTCTGTTTAGCTATCAATTCATCGGTACATTTATTTTCACTCGTCGATTTATACTCAATAATCACAAAATTTAAAAAAATAAAAAAATGTTGATTTCTCTGCATCAAAATTTATCTAAATTTCTTAAAGTATTCAAGGTCAAACATCACTATTTGCATGAATGCTATCAACATCATTAGCTTCTTCTCGCCTAGGTTCAATGGCCACAATATTTCGTGCCGGTTTTGAAAGGTGAATTCTCCCAAGTAGACGGAGTGTCACAAAAAATAAAAAATTAGCTATTGTACAATTGTACATGCCGGCAAGTGCAGTTTTCAAGCACGGCATTCGTCTTTTACCACATATTTTTGTATTTTTATCTCCTGCAAAATATCAAAATCATTTGATCTTACGTTCAAATAAATTCGAAAAAACTTACTTGGCATAGAAAATTTCACACATTCACACTCTTGCTTTGTAAAGTTCGCCAAACATTCCTCTTCGCAATTCACTTTCGAGTACATTCTATAGAAACGTAATTTACGCTCATCGTCATAAAAACAGTTCCGTTGATTTGTATTAAAGTGATGCAATTTTTCTGTAGTCGTGGTCAATTCCGATTCAATATCAATTGTACTATGTTCTGAAAGCGGCACCCAAAAATCATTTCGCAACATTTTCAATGTATCACCAGGCGTTGACAAAATCAATTTGAATCCTTGATGCAGTGCACGGCAATCATGAAAATCTCTTTCATATGTCTCAAATCCGATCATAAAACGTAAGAATGAGGGATCAAGTAGATCTTTATATCCATTTTATGGACTCCAATGCGTCGATGCATTCGGACTATTTTTAACAATCATAATTCCAGTAGCCATTCTAAAAATAAAAAAATTCTGAAAAATACAAGAGATGAATATTTTTTTGCGCATAATAGTCACAATATATAGGCGTTTTACTCAGTTGTGTAAATTTCACGTGAATTCAAAGCATTGAAAGTGAAAAAAAGCCCATCCTCTGTTAAAACTGGAACTACGTAATTGGAGCAATAGTATTTGCCACCATACCATTGGCAGTAAACCATCATATAGCGCATCGTACATTGATTCATTCGCAAAACCATTATCGGCAAACGAATTTATTTCTGCTGAAAACGGGCACACATGAGCCAACGCATTTAGTCATATTGTGCTAAGTAAACCGACAGAAATTGATCTTTAACATTATAATGGGAAAAGGTTGCTCTAATTCAGTAATGTGTGAAGGGGGTTTACCCCCTCCCCCTGTGATTTGGATGAGAAAAAAAATTTCGCGAAAATTATTCGAATTTGCTAGGGTTTTTAATTCTAAAAGTGAAGACTTTTTTTTTTGCTCTTCACTTTTTTTGTCCGAGAAAATTCTTCCAAAAAAACGATTTTATCGTCATTTCCTGAGGTTTTTGGCTGAGAAAATTCTTTCGATTTGCTAGGGATTTTCACCAAAAAAAAGAAGAGCAAAAAAAAAACGAAATTTGTTGTTCAGATGAGAGAATTTTTAGTTTTTGAAATCTAGGGGAAAATATCGAATAAAATAAGTTTCGAATATGCTGCGTATAAGAATATAAACCGTATATACGGAAGACTATTTGTAAATAACTCCATATATATGTGGTTTATACGCAAATATGCAGCGTCTTCATCTATTTGTAGTATATTCAGTAAAAACTAGGGGGTAGACACATGGAATAGGATTAGACTTTTTAGTGTAAAAATTCGAGAAATTAAAGTGGAATAGAGAATTCAGTAGCTGGATTCACATGGATTCACTAATCCTGTGTATGGAATAGCGAAAATGGGTTAATTCAAAGTTTTTGTAATCGATAGTACAGAATTTGATAAAAGCATTGAACTTGTTTTGAGATAGTAATTTGTTCTTTTTTGAAATATTTTTTAGTTCAAAAGTCGATTACAAATTTACAAAACAATAGATACACTTTCTCAAAATTTTATTGATGAAAAAAATAATTTTAATTATCAATAACAAAATGTCATACTCCAGTATCGATAAATAAGTTTTCAACAAAGTGAATAGCGGCGAAATGTGAGATCACATTTGACAATGAAATGACGTATTGGTGGAATAGTAGGATTAGTGTTTTTATATTGGAATCATGGTTTAATCGTTTGTGTCTCCCCCCTAGAGTAAAAAATACTTTTATTATTGTTAACTATATATCTGATATTATGTTTGAAATGGAATTTTGTATTAATTGATTTCTTACTCTAATTGCGATAAATTCGATGTTAACATAAGCTTCCGATTAAATTTCGATAATAAATCAAATTTGTGTTTCAACGTTTTAACACTGGAACATATTGTAACCACAGCAATGAAATCCCTACTACCGTGCTAGATGGTGTCGACAAGAGTGGAGGATTTTTAAATTTATTTGAACGACGTCATGTTACTATACTTGTCCATTACAACGTACATGTAACAGAAGAAACACACAGTCCATGTCCACGCTAGTGGACATGAACGATTTGAACCGTCAATGTGAACTAGATCAAGTATAGAACTTTACATAGGATCATATACGATGAATATGGATTACACAGTCTGTTTCAAAATACCGTCACCAATGTCGACACCATTTGACATCAAAATTTTGACAGTTAAAATATGTGTTATTGTTGTTGTCGTTTCATTGCTCTGATTGAAGTTGGAAATGGAACCGACGAAATCTGTATCTTTTCGCCTGATTTAAAGGTCATTGGATTCTCATTCTATCTGTACATTTTTGAATGTAAACTAATGATAATGATAACACAGCCAAAAAAAGCATATGTGTCACCTTTCACTTTTACGTAGAATACGATCGGTGAAATAACGCATGTCATGAATTTTACTATTCGTGCAAAACTCTTTTGAAAATATACGGAACACTCGAATGAATGGTGCAAACACTCTTTGTCGAATAAAGTGATCAAATTGCATCAACGATTTTGTCTTAAAATTAACAATATGATTAATAAAATTAAAAGAATATGATTAATTTTTCGTCCATTAAAGAATCTCTCGAATCTCTTCAAGTTATCCATTGTAATTCTTTGTTATGATTAAAATAAAAGGAATTCACTGACGATAAGAAAACTTCCACCTCAAACCTCAAGTATACGTGTTCTCGTTTCAGTTGCGCAGTAGATGAAATCAAATAATGAAATTCACTGCATTATTCCTTATTTAGATTTATTACTTTTTATCGATTTTTTTGTTTTTACAATAAAATATTTACCCTATATTACAATTTACAATAAAATTATTTTAATAAATTAAATTTATGCATGAAATCCAACCAACTTGATCCTAATCAATTTAAATATACAACATCTTTTTGTTTACCAATGTTAGCGTGCTCGCTTTTTATTATGTGCACTTCAGTTTTCAGAATGTATTTCAATTGGAACGTGTTTCAGAATTTCAAACAAATCTCAATTTCATTTTTCAAATTTAACAACAAGTTATTTAATTTCAGTATTCCATTGGAGACAGTCTGATCCCTCAGTACGCTGTCTGGACATTTATGCCCTAGTTGGAAATTGCAATATCAATTGAAAACAGTTTTTATTATTCATACAAAGCTTTTCATCGAGTGATAGTACAGCATAAGAGTTAACAAAAGGGAGCGCATAAAAACTAGAACAAAGACTCTTTTAAATTAAAAGTTTTAATTGTATTGTTCCCCCCGAAAAAATACACCTTGCAAAACCTAAAGTTGTCCACGTAAAATGTCATTTTACCAGTTTTACGATTTTGTCTTCGGAAACTATTTATACTATATACTTGATGAATAAATCATCTGTTTATTAAATATTGCATGAATTAAAAGAAGATCAAATTATATAACAATGTGATGTTGATATGAAGTATGTATGATTCATATATTTTTTGTTTATAACCATTATTTTTTTACGAACATAACAACAAAGCATATCTCATAATCACCGAAATACTCACCGGCTCCAAAATTAATCGTGCATTCGTGTGTGTGTGTTTGTGTTGCTTTCATTTGATTTTGACCATTCAACAGTTTGTATCTTTGCATTCGGATTTTTGTATAAAAGGCTCTGTTCACTGCGACCAAAGTATCATTCAATCTTCAACTTTCGACAAGTTAACTCATTTCAAAGCTAAGCATTGAGTTATCAACCATGAAGGTAAAGATCATATCAATTGAAAGAAGACAGTGTTATCGGTGTTTTTGTGTGTGAAATTGTGGAATTAAACGACATTATTAAAAATAATAACAATTTTGTTTGTTTGGTGTTTATTTCCTTCAGGTATTCGCCTGTGTTGTCTTTGTTGCCTATATCGCTGTTGCCAGCGCTACTCTTTCTGCTCTACTCGGTGGCGGCGGCGGCGGCGGAGGTAGCCAACAGAAAATCGTGAAAATTATTCATGTCGATGGAGGACACTCAGGACATGGCGGTGGTCATGGCGGTGGACATGGTGGTGGAGGTAAAATTTTGATAAAATTTAATAAATTTAGCAAAATAAATTATTTCATTCATTTGTTTATCCAAATTCTAGCTCAAACGATTAACTTGGTCATACCTGAAGGTTTGGGTGGCCATTCTGGTGGTGGACACGATCATGGACCAGCCCCACAACAGCATTTCGTTCATGTAGATCATCAACATCATCACCATGAAAGCGGCGGTGGTCACTCAGCTGGACCCGCAATCATCAAAGTGATCCAAGAAGAATCGAGCCATGGTCATGGAGGTCACGGTGGCGGATATGCCGCTCCAGCTCCACAAATCGTCAATGTTATAGCCGAAGGTAATAGAAAGTCATTTGATAAATTTTTTGTTGTTCAATTTCATGTAATGTCTTATCACATTCAATCATTCCTTCTTATTATTATTAGGAGGACATGGTCATGCTCACGGTCACGGAGGATCATCATATGGAGCTCCAGCAGCTCCAGTCATCGTCAAGGTATAATAATTTTCCATGCACTTTTATCAGATTTTTAACACATTTGAACATTCCATTTTACAAAATATACTTTTATCATTGGCAGGTCGTTGAATCAGGACATGGTGGTGGTCATGGTGGATATTCAGGCGGTCATGGAGGTGGTCACTCAGGTGGTCACTCAGCTCCCCAAGTGATTAAAGTTGTTCAAGAAGAATCGCACGGTTTTTCATCAGGTGGTGGTTCAGGTTGGCAAGATTCTGGTTCTGCAGGATGGTCAAGCGGCGGTGGTTCATCATCAGGATGGAATAATGGATGGGATTAAATGATTCATAAAAACGAATCCAAAATGTCAAATTGACGATAGTTATTTTCATTTCATTCATTGGTCATTTCATAATAATTTGTGCCAATTTCATTCAATATAGTTGACCATGATAGAGACTATTGTTATATTTATTTTTCTTGTTAAATGAAAAATGTTGTTATTAAATAATAAATAATTTGTTACAAAAAATTAAAATCCGAATATCTTTCTTTTCACAATATAACGCATATAAATTCTATTTCTTCACGATTCATCAAACATAATCAATTTAAGTTAATAACTGGCTGTTTAGTTATCAATTTATCGGTACATTTATTTTCACTCGTCGATTTACAATCGATAATTCAATCAATGTTAATTTCTCTGCATTTAAATTTTTCTATAATAAATCAGTATTTGAATGTATACTGTGAATGTGTAGGTAAATGTATACAATTCATTTCTATCGAATGCATTTACACGAAGATGTTCATGAAAATAAATCAGGGCAAATGTAACAAAAAGAATATGAAAGAAATGCGTTATGTGTGTGAGTGTGTGCTTGACTTTCATAATTTATATAACGTACACTTGTCCTACAAATTTAAGGACAATCGTAATGCCATACAGTATTTTCACATATCAATGCAATTATAAGAAGAGAGCGATAAAAGGGAGTTTAACAGTACCTATGCACACATTCTATGCATACATCAATTTTTCTCTCAATAAAGAAATCAAGCACATTATTTATTCTTCAATGTATTATCTATAATATCCTCACCACAGCTATGCAAATTGAGATAATCACTTTTACCGACTGAGTTGGTGATGAGAGAAACAAGAAATAATCTACAAATTCTGTCTCTTCGAATTTCAAACATAACAATATGTAGTTGTACACGATACCAGAGTCCTCTAACGGACAATATAGTAACTTCAGTATATGCTTTGAGGTTTTGTTCTGCCACAATAATTGCTTTGGCTACTGTCACAACAATTGACTGTCAAATTGTTTGATTACAATTAAAAATTGATAAATTTGAGGAAAGCACAAAAATGTCGTACGATTGGTAAATTATAAATAAAAAAAAACTCATAAATGTTCAACGATTTTCAAGCATACATATTGATTATTCCATTTAAAGGCTGGCCAATTTAAGTGAGAGGAAAAATGCAAAACGCTACTTAGCGTGCAAAGAGATATTTGAGCATCCACTAAAGACGACCGTGACTACGGTTTGTGATAGATAAAGAAACAAGTTTTCGATGCCAAAAGAGTTGACATATTTTTTTTATTTCAGTCAGTGGAAACGCGTGGCGTGAGAAAACAAGGTAGTCAAATTAGTAGTCGAACATCATCCATTGTATCGTTAGATCCGCTAAGTTTGGATGGAGCCGACCCTCTGAGTCATTTTGTCAAGATTGATTCATTTGAAGGCGATCCATTAACAAAACTGTCCAATGAATATGTAAGCGTGTAAAAATCGACGAATAAATCCACAAATATAAATCGATTGTTTTTTACAGCGGACAAATGGTAATAAAAATAAGGAAAAATCGGATGTTGTCGATATTTCGCTTGAGAATCATTGGAATTCACGGAGAGCAACAATTTTATCCAAATATACGACGGCCGAAAAATTGACAATTGTTTCCAGTTTTTTACATGGCGGTGAATTGGTTAAAACTCAAATTACATTTTCGGAAAAAGTTAAGAATCGCCTGGAACAATTGGACGATTTCGAAGACGGTTCCATTCGACGTGTGAATGATTTAACGCAACAAGAATTTCAATTGCGCATCGAACAATTAAATCAAGAATTAATTCAAGCATGGAAAACGGATCAACGTGTTAAAGCACTGAAAATTGCAATACAATGCACTAAAGTATTGGCAGATACATCTGTTATTTCATTTTATCCCAGTCAATTCGTGTTGATAACCGACATTTTGGACAATTTTGGAAAGTTGGTATTCGAACGATTGCGAACCAAGACCGAATACTATGAATCGGGCTCAAATGTTGCTAAAACGTTGCCAGAAAATTTCACACCTGAAATGGTAAGCGGTGATGTGAAAGAGACGTGCTTGAATTGGTTTTATAAAATTGCATCGATTCGAGAATTGTTGCCACGATTGTATTTGGAAATAGCCTTGATAAAATCAATGCGTTTCTTATCGCACACCGATTTTAATCAAACGCTGCTTCGATTATGTCATATGATACGCGGAATTGGTGATCCGCTTATTGCTGCCTATGTTCGTTGCTATTTGTGTCGTGTTGGACCAACTGTTACAAAAGAGACAAAATACTTGGAAGAAAATTTAAATGATTTTTTATTCGTTTACCACACAGTAAGTTGGATAGTAATATGCCATTACCCCGAATTCCTTTAATTGTTGAACGTTTTTATTTTCAGATTCTTCTTGGCGGATTACGAACTGATTTGGCACATCAACGCATAAATTTGAGCGATTACTTAAATCTGTATTCGCCGGCATTGGATTGGACTATTCACTGTCTTGTGGTTCAATCAAATGATGCCGTTTTAGATGATTTTCTAATAAAATGCCAAGAGAAAAAGAATAAGTGAGTAAACATTTTCTCCATATTTTTTAAAATCTTTGTTTTTATTAACCCTTTCAATTTGTTCCGTTTTAGTGGTCTATTGTTGCAGTCATTATTAACATCGTACAAACCGCATTTTGTTGCGATGCGTGCCAATAAATTTGTACACATTTTGTCGAATAGTAATCACGATGGTGTAACGAGAGGTCAACTATTTCGTTTGCTTGGAGTGAGTTTGTGCAAACAATTACCACCAGAAGATCAACATTTATCCGTGCTGAATGGAGCATGGAAAACCATTACAACACTAACTCAAGCATCCGAATTTATTTATTGCATTGAACCATGGGCTGAGTTTGCAAGCCGCAATTTTGGGGTAAGGCAACCAAAATTTGGACCAACCTCAACGATTTTATTTTAAAACAAAACATATTATTTTATCATAGGTAAAAGAGATCGATACTATTTTGAGTGAAGTGATTGTTCGCATGAATCAAAATCGTGCGTTTGAAAAACACTATCCCGAATTGCAGTCGATTTGCAATAGTATCATTGAAAATATCAAAGATTTGGAAGCACTCTTGACGTCCGACAATTTTTTGCTGTTTCTCGATCTGTTCAAAAAAGATTCGGTCCGAATGGATGTATGCAAGGATATATTAATTGCTTATAAGTCAAACGTTCCTGTGCCGCCATACGAACAAGAATCAAATATTAGTGATGTTGTTGTTATGAATGCACTTTTACAAATTGCAAAGCATCTCCATGATGGAATCACGTAAGATAGCAATTGACAATTTTATAATTAGATATAATGTTTATGGTTGCCATACTTTATTATTTTCAGTGCATTGACAAGTGAAGATGAACAACGTCAAGTAACTCAATTGATAAGTCATTTTGTGCGTACAATGGGATTTGGTCGAGATTTCGAAGCTCAATTGGCATTTTATGCAGAAGCACGTGCAGTTTTTCCCAATTTAGACGGTGTCTATGTAACGCTTGTTCAATGTGTCAATCTATTGGCGAATAAAACAAGACGCATCGTTAGTGGAAAACATACACGGAAAACAAGCGCCTTTGTTAAATCATGCGCCGCATACTGTTTCATAACCATTCCCAGTATATCATCGGTGCGCATACGCATGAATCTGTATTTGATGTCGGGCCAAGTGGCGCTGTTGAATTTATGTTTTGGGCAGGCCGATTCATTCTTCGAAACAGCAATAAATCTCATTAGGGAATTGCCGAAAACCTGCGAAATTGACGGAAAACCGAAGTCAACCGAAAACTATTTGATTTCATTCATATCGAATATGCTTTCAACACTTTTAGTGACACCTGTAAGCTGGCATCGATTTGATTTTCTTCATGATTTTTTTTTGGGAAAGAGTTTAAATTGTTTCTTTTTAATATTCTAAAATCTTACAGGATAGCCCAGAACAAGGTGTTTTATATTTAATTCGCACATTGCTCGAAGTAACAGAGAAACTGTCATTAGAACCAGAAACAGGATGCTTGACAAGAATCTATCTTTTAGTTTTGGACGTTTTACTCGCATCGTCACGTGAAAAGTATCCATATCACATTCCAAATGTTATATCAAATGATGAATTGTACGGATCAGACCCCAAATTTATCAATGAAGTGCATTCAATGTCCTCACAAATTATTGAATCAATTTTGGTGCAGCTGAAATTGCTTGGCAACAGTAATAACTTGAAAGCACAATGCCATTATTCGTTGGATTTATTTTTAAAGTTAGCATTGCATGCGAATATTGCCGTTGAAAGGACGTTTCTGTTAACGCTCAACTTGTGGAATTTATCGATGAAAAATCGCAAATTTATTGATGCCAAATTGCCCGGTAAAATCCTGATGAAAATGGAAAATCACATGAAACCAATCGGAGACGAACAACTTCGACATGCATTTGAAGAGCTCACAGCTAAAATGAAAGTTAAAATGTAAATCCAATGTTTTTATCCTACTATATTCAATAAAAAAATTCGATATTATATCCATAAAGATAAATTTTTTGATTTCAAGCGTGCCCATGTGTGATTTAAATTCCAATATTTATTATACAACTTTAATTTTATTTTGAACAATTTCCCCTGAATTTACCAGTTTACATTGGAAGGCTCAATTCAAAATAAAAAATATATAAGGAAAACTTCATTAATTCTCCATTTTCCGATAGTTTCATGTTCAACTTTATATTCCAAAAGCTTTTGGCATATAAAAAAGGCTGCCACCTGCAAAGTATAGTCGAATATGCATTACAATATATGTTATGCCTGCAAAATACGTATACCGTAATTATTTACTCATCTAGACATTAACTACTAGACTAGAAAAATCGATAAACTCATTTAAACCAAGCATGAAAGAAAACGAAAATAAAACCACCAATATTATTTTTCAATCGTAGCCTACTTCAGAGGTATGCACATGTGTGTACTGTACAGCTGCGCATTCATATGTGCACATACGCGAAATTGAATCAGTCGCTATACTGTATTCGTAGACAAAAGACATCGTCTCGATTATGGAACCATACAAACATCTACATAGGTTTCAAATAGCGACTCACTCGTTTGTCGTTTGTAAATTAAAATCGATTTTCTGAATTCAAATCATCGAAGTAAGTGTAATTATTTAATTCTTAACATTAGCGAAGATAAAATTTAATTTTTAGTATTTATTAAAATATTTTAACAAATTCTATTTCTACACCTTTGATGAACTAAAAGTTCTTTCAAAATGACCACTACGCCATTTTTTAAAGAAAAAAAATTCCATTAAATTAATTCTACAATCTAATCCAGTAAATTTCTCACAAAATAAATAGTATAAATTGAAATATTTGAAAAAATCGTAAATTAAATATTAACATTTTAATATTAATACGTCAATACTATACCCATTGAATATATATACTACATATTACGTTTGTTGAGATGTATATGTGCTTTAAAAACACTGTGGATAGAAAAGCATTAGCATGAGTGTAATATATTCAAAACAAATAATGTCGGTTAAAGCAAAGCGAGATAATTCAATTCAATTCAATTTATTTTCACCGCCAAATACTGGCTGACTAAATAGTTAACATAGTGTTTTTTACATAGTTGAATAGATAAATAAATAAATAGGTGTTAATAGATAGGGTGATTATGAAGTAATAGGTAGGTGATGTGTATATCGAATAAATAGATAATCAGTCAGCTGTATAGATATGTAAAATAATAATTTTCAAAATTTACAATAATTATCACTTAGTTAGTTAGTCATTTTTCATAATATCACATATTTATATGTTTGTTTGTTTATTTGTATCACAAAGTTGTCCAAGTTCCAAAAATTTCATCCGGTAAACTGAAAAGTTTCTGTCTAAATTGATGATGTGGTATCGTTGGGTCGATGAAAAGAGCTGCTACATTGAATAGACGACATGCAGTGTTGAATGGAGACATAGTTGAGTGAAGTGTTCTACAAAACTTGATGCGTATGAATTCCGGGTTTCGTAATGATC